AGATATGAGCTATGGACATCCGGTTTTATTATTTTATTTAGTTGTTATTGTTAAATTCAAAAGATGGTTCTGGGGTTGATCTCCTAGCCTAGCCTAGTGATTAAAGGAGCCAGATTCCACATGGCCAACCATGGTTTGAATTCCAGCCAGACTACTTGAAAAACACACTGGACACATGTGCATTCATGCTCAAAAGTCCAACAGGATGGAGAAATGAAAAAGGGATTGTCACACGACCACACTCCATTGCTGATTTCTTTCTCTTGCTCACTCTCCCTGTCTCTGGCTAGTATAAGCACCCTCTAGCAATTAAAAAATAAAAAATCAATGCAAAAGATTATTCTAATGCACACTGAAGGTTGACAATCACTAATTTAAGTATTCTTGCTGACTCATAAGCAGTAACTATATTATTTATGATATGGGAGAGGAATAGTGAATAGGATTTGGTAAATGAGTAAGCAAAAATCCTCTGGACAATAATAATTTTGTGGTTTATAGTTTTTCCATCACTTTTCTCTGGAGAAGGCTGGTCCTTTTCACTATCAAAACTGCTCCTTCTAAACCACATTACTTTAATCTCCAGTTCAACTAAAGTAAGGTCAACAACTTTGTCACAGTTTTTTCCCTTCTAGGTTTTGAAATAGTTAAGGTTTTCAAAGATGAATTCTAAGATCTCTTTTTGCTAAGATTGTATTATTCTTTGAAGAATCTGACCTCTCTCTCTCTCTCTCTCTCTCTCTATATATATATATATATATACTTATTTTGTGCTATCTACTGTGTTTTCTATTCAGAAAAAGATATTACTATGAAAGGGGATACGGTAGACCAAAGGAACCAAAAAGAGGTACCAAAGCGAGAATAATTTTCCAAATAAAATTTCTTATGGCAAGAATTTGAGAATTACATGGCTACAACTGTAAGAATACTAGGAATTTTTCTTTACACTTCTAATTTGAGATCAGTTGACCATTAATTTCCAAGGGTCTTCCTAATAACTTCAGGTTAAATTTTTACAGCATTCATCATTATTATATTGTATATCTGTCCTATCTTGAGCAAGAATAGTTCATTATAATATTCCTCATCAGTTGTTCCTCAAAAATAAAGCCATAATTCCTACTAACTTTGGTGAGGTTATTATACCATAACAATCTTTTTTTTCTTTTTTTGGAGAGGTTTTTGTTTTTTGTTTTTTGTTTTTTGGGTTTTTTTTTGCTATAGGGTACATGTACTTGCCAGAAAGACAGGGAGAAACAGAAAGCGAGAAATCACCCTCCCCGGGGGGATGACCACGCCACAATCGCTTCTTCTCCATTCTCTCAAGATCTTGGGCATGCATACACATGTGCCCGGTGTGAGTTTAAGCCACTGGGTCCAGGACTCGAATCTCAGTCGGCGACATGGGAGTTCAGCGACATAGCCATTACGCTAACTGCTGGTCCCTATCATAACAATCTGAAGCACACACACACAAAAAAAATCTGTTCTCCCACTCTAATCTTTGAAAAACTGAGAATTCTCATACTATTCCAAAAGACAGTTTTAATGTGAAAACTAAACCTTGATCCACTAAACAGGAAGAACAGCATATAGGACAATGGGCCCATTTTCATAACAGCACTGCTGGCCTCTTAAAACTTAAAGTAGCCCCTACTGCAATTCTTTACACACTGTTTCTCTTTCATATGATGTGTTTATCTACCCAGAAAACATCTTCTCATTTTTAAGACTTAATTCATTAATTTACTATTTAACATGAACAATTTAGCACCAATTCAGGTTTTGTTCCATATGATGGGTCTAAAATGAAAATACAATTGTCAAAAATGATGATGACACAAACCCAGGCCAGGCCCATCTTGAGATATATACTGAACTTCAGCTGTGAAATATTGCTTTTCTTGACCAAAAATGAAGATTTTCTGCTGAGACTTTGCCCTCCAGAATCATTTCTAGTGGGTAGGGCCCTACCTCTTTCTCCTTCTCTCCATTTATCGCTGTCTCTCTCTGTCTCACTGTGTCTCCCTGTCACTTTTAATTTTTTTTTAACTTTTTTTTAAGGTAAAGTGTTCTTTGGGCTCTCAAGCCCTTCTTTTACTGTGCTGCTTTTCCCTACTTCATTTAGGAAAGGCACAAACCTGAGCCAGGCCCATCCTGAGATGGATACTGAACTTCAGTTGTGAAATATTGTTTTTCTTGAACAAAAAATGAGGATTTTCTGCTGAGACATTCTCCTCCAGAATCATTTCTAGGGGGTAGGGCTCTACCTCTGTCTCCTCTCCATTTCTCTTTGTCTCGCTGTGTCTCGCTGTGACTTGTAATGTTTTTAATTTTTTTTTTAAAGTATTCTCTGGGCTCTCAAGCCTTTCTTTTATGGTGCTAATGGCTGTTTTCCCCCATTACATTTAGGAAAGGCACAAACCGAGACCAGGCCCATCCTGAGATAGATACTGAACTTCAGCTGTGAAATATTGTTTTCATACAGCACACACATCGCACAGTTTTCATTTTTTGCCTTTCAAAATTAAAATCTAATGTTTTTATTATCTTTTATTCTTTTCTCCTTTTCATTTTATTTGTTTTTTTCTTCTTTCCTCTTCTCTAATTCTTTTCCCTTTTTTTCTTTACATGTTTATTCATTGGCTGCTCAGCCTCTATGCACTAAGTGTCTAGACAGGTCCAAGTGAACAGGATCCAAACATCTGAGTACAATTAGGGTCAGAATATTCATCTATTGCCTCTATGCACAAAGAGTGAAAATGAAAAAGAGAGATTACAGATCACCTCCTTCTGCACACCTCTGAACACTCAGATTGAACTTCAAGAATTAGGAAGAAACTCACCATCCATCAGGAGACTAGAAATCACCACAGGGTCACAAGAAATATGGGAAAGCAAGAAAATACCTCTCCTCCAATAACTCCTCTTCATCCACAGACAATACAATGAAACTCATGGAAATGTCTGATAAAGTATTTAGAATATTCATAGTGACAAAGCTAACAGAGATGCAAGAGAAGAGAGACTGTGAACTACAGAAAAGGCAGGAGAAAGGAGCTGACGAGTTCCAGGAAGTGAGAAAATTCTTGCAAGATCTAAAAGAGGAAATACACCCTATAAAAAGGAATCAAATGGACCTGTTAGAGATGAAGACTATACTACAGGAAGTCATAACCTCCCTTGAAATTATTAAAAGCAGACTGGATCATACAGAAAATCAAATCTCAGTTGTAGAAGACAGAATCACTGGCCTAGAAAAAAATCCACCATGAAGACTAAGAAAATGGCCCCCAAAATGAGTATAATACACGAGAAATACTAGATAACATCAAGAATCCAAACATCTGGATAATTGGTATCCCAGAATGTGAAGAGATTCATAAGGGCATTGATAACCTATTCCATGAAATCCTGGAAGAAAACTTTCCAAACCTAGAAAGGCATTCAAAGATCCAGTCCCAAGAAATATAAAGGACCACAAGTAGAATCAACCCAAAAAGATCTTCTCCAAGACACATTAGAGCCAGATTGACCAAATTCACAGACAAAGACAAGATACTGAGATTGGCAAGAGAGAAACGGTAAATTACCTACAAAGGATATCCCATCAGGCTAACAGCAGACCTCACTAGAAACAATGCGAGCAAGGAAAGAATGGGAAAAATATATTCAAAGTGTTAAGGGAAAAGCAATTTCAACCAAGAATATTATACCCAGCAAGATTATCCTTCATATGGGAAGAAAAGACAAGAACATTCTCAGATAAACAATACCTGAAAGAATTTACCAACACCAGACCAGATCTTTAAGAAGTTCTCAAGGGAGTGAGACAATGCTCAGGGAATGAATATATATTAATTAAATAATAAAAAAATGTTTCAGGGAAAAAATTTTTTAAAAAAAATTAGCTATTTAATGACTGCAGTAAGCTATATTGCCCCAACTCCATATACTTTGTAGTATGTTCATTCTACCCACTGAGGTTTATGCCTAAAGTCAGATATGTGCTCATGGATATGTATATATCAGCTACACTTCCTATTGAATGTATTTAGATGAATTAAGATCTTCAGTGAATCAATAAAATGTGAAAAACTAAATAAATAAAAATTGTTAAAAATGATGAGAAAATAGTTTTTCTACATCTTATTAATTGGCATCATCATTTTCTCAACTTTTCAAGGTAGAAAATCATTAATCAGCCCTCAATCCTCTTCATTTTACTCCCTACATCCAATTCATCAGAATGTCCTGTTTCCACTTAAAAATACATCATTTGTCTCCATGTCACCATCTCTGTAAATCAAAGACTGGCAAACTTTTCTGTCAAGAGTCAAGACATTAGCTATGTGTTACTGTAGATCTTGTAAGATACACATTCTCCTACCTTTATAAGGCAAAAACCACCTCAGGCAACACACAAATAAATGGGCATGGTTGTGTTCCAGTGCAACTTTATTTTACAAAAAGAAGCATCAGACTAGATTCGGCCCACAGAGCAGTGGTTTCTTGACTTCCACCCTAAAGCATGATACCACCTGCTTTCTCCTAACTAACTCCTAAGTTCTCTCTGCTTCTAGTCTACCTTATTAAAGTAGGGTATCCCATTATTTTCTGTCAGCATGGTATTGCCTCAGTAACACTAACTGCAATGTTTAATTATCATGTTTACTTGTTTTTGTCTGTCTCTTCCACTAATTTCCTTTTCAAGAAAATGCCTATATTAAAAATGTTATCTCCAGGACCAATACACATCCCACACTCGATAAACATTTGCTGATGGGGCCAATAGGTGGCATAGCGATTAAGGTGGTGGACTCCCATGTGGCCCAAGGGATTTGAGTTCCTGACCCAGAGGCTTGAAACTCATACTGGGCACATGTGCATGCTTCAAGATCCTGAGAGGAGAACAGAGAAGGGACTGCGGCACGGCCATCCTCCAAAGGGGTAATTTCTCGCTTACTGTCTCTCTCGGTCTTTCCAGCGAGCACACACCCCCCTATAACAAAAATCTCTCAAACAATAAAAATAAAATAAACATTTCCTCAATTTATTAATGAAAACAGACCCTTGATCTCACAGATCCTTGCTATCTAGTGAGAGTATAAACAAACATATGTATTAATAATTGTAAAAAGTGCTTTGAAAAGTGCTATGAGAAAGAAGTATTTGGAAACATAATTTAAAAAGGAAGGGGGTCTCAGAAGAATATCTCAGCTGGTACAATTTAAGGGATACATTTTATGGGCATTTTTCTGGTTCCTGAGTTTGGATACTGTCTAGAACTAAACAGATTCACAGGAGTATGAGCTAGAGATGGAATCAGTATCCAAACCCGGGAACAAATTACTTACATTGGGAGCATTTCCTGGTGGATTGAATGGGAAACTGGGGTAAGGCTCCTTTCGCATGGGCCCCTCCCTCTTTCATTCCACACTAGCCTCCTTACAGGCATGCTCCTACCTCAGAGCCTTTCAGTGTTCTGCTTCTTCCACCAACATTCTTTAAATACCAAAGTGACTGATTCAGATTCATAAGTAACTAAAGTTACCTGGGAATGAGCATTCCAGCCACCATAATCTCCACTGGGTAGAGTCATCTGTTTATTTTTACCTGCCAGACTATGGGATTACAGAATCAACAACTCATAGCCCTCAGAGTTCAGGCCTCTCTGAGCTTTAGCTCTAAACTCCTCTATTTCATGAGCTGATACCTCTTTCAACAGAGACCAAGAAGAGGGGCAGCAGATGCTGTGGTGGTTAAGACACTGGATTCCCACATAGCCAACTGCAGTTCAAATCCCAGATGGGTGACTTGAAATTCACACTGGGCCCATGCGTGTGCGCACGTGCCCCAAATCCCAAAAGTCAAATGGAGAAGGGACTGCTGCATGGCCATGCTCCCTGGGCATGATTTCTCACTTTCCCTCCCTGTCTCTCCAGCCAGTGCACACACCCTATGGCAAAAACCTAAAAAACGAAAAAGAAACAAGCAAAAACAAACGAAAGCAAGTAGATAAGCAATCAGCTAGCCCTTCTCCTCCATTTCTCTCTCCTTCAGGGACTTTGGGCACTGCACAAATACTTGCCCCTACACGTTTCTCAAGCCAGAAGTTCCATACTGGAACCACAGCGTCCAGCATGTGGGAGCTGACGGCCTTAAGCACCAGGCCACAGAACCAGCCTTGAATCATTATATTAATGGATGTAAATATGGAGGAAAGAAGACATCCCAGATGACATGTGGTAGATAAACACACCTTCCTTAAACTCGCTCTAGGTGACTTAAAGGCAGAATATAAAGTCCTGACTCAATACATCAAAAATTAAGCTCTTTATGTAACAAAAGTAAATAACTATAATAAATATCTCAACTTAACAAAACGTCTACCATTCACTAACTGGAGCTCACAAAGATAAAGAATAAAAATATCCAACATTTAATGAGTGCTTACTATGGGCCAGTTGCGGGGAGGGGCGGGGTGTCACATAAATGCTTTGCATACATCTCAAATAATGTCATAATCACAAGAACGCAGAAATGATTCCAATTTTACAGACGAGGAAACTGCCCAACGTTGCTCAGCAAGTAACTGTCCGAGCCAGCTCTAGATCTAAGGAGAGCCTGACTCCAGAATCCAGGTTCTCGACATTGAATCGCAGAGCGGGTCCCAGCTCTGGAAGGGTTCACATCCTGCAGCTGTCACTCTGAAGAGCCCCGGGTAAAACCCCGACCCGAAAGGCACCGGCAGCAACGGGTCTGGGCAGAGAGGGGGATCTCCTAGCTTGTACCTTTGCCGGTGGTTTCCGCGCGGGGTTTCAGGGCAGAGGGATCCATCTGGACAGGGGAAGGGGCCTGGCGACCCCGCTGCACTTAACACCCGGCTGGCGGCGGACAGCGACGAGGAGGCAGGCAGGGGGGCCAGCGAGGCCACCACCACCTCCCGTCGCCCTCCGCACATTGCTCCCCTGGAGCCCGAAGCCAAGGGACCGGAAGGAGCAAAGGTGGACCCTAAGAGGGTCCAGGGACAAGGTCCAGGCGGCGTGTGAGCTGAAGGACCGCAACTTCCGACTCTAATTTGGAAAGTCCCGCGAGAACGGGCTCCCTGTCGCTGAGATCTCGCGAGAATTAAAAACCAAAAATAAAATCTTCGTTAACGTGGGCGGAGCCATCTTCCTGCAGTCTCTCTCCCAGGAGGCACGTAAGGAAGGTCCGCGATAGGTCCAAGTATCGCGAGGTGTGGGGTCGGTCGCAAGTTGGGTGCGGATACCAGAGCTGGGAGCTCGGGAGCGATTCTTAGGCTCCGGGATGCAGTGGATTTTTAGGGGAACTGCCATAAATATCGTCCCTGCGATCGTGGCCTTCTGTCCTGTCGCCGGTGCTCGGTCCCTTCGTGGCGTCGCAGGACGCTTTGGATCTTCAGGAGGCGAACTATTTCCTCCTGCAATACTGATTCAAGACACCCGCCGAGGGCCGAGTGAAATCAGTGCGTTTTGTATTAAATCATAAACAACTTCGGGTACAGTAGCAGCCACACTTGCTATAAAGAGAAAGTAAACGTAAAAACTCCGCTAAAATTCAAAGTTTTCCTCTGCACCATCCGCAGTTATCCATGGTCTGTAGAACGTCACGGGGAACGCCAAACGAGCCGTCCAGACTGCAACTCCATGTGTGCTGACACTTCCAGACGTTGTACATGGATTAATCCAGAAATGGCTCCCACACGTGTTCGAATCTTTTCAGTGCTGTGCCGTTTCCCTGATTTACGTTAGCCTGAATGGGCCTGTGTTAGTTTCACACCTGTGGCGGCTGTAACCAGTTACCACAAACTGTGGCTTAAGACCACACAAGTGCGTTGGCTTGCAGACAACACTGATTATCTCCCAGTTCTGTAGGTCAAAGTCCTGGCGCTCTTTTTGGGCTAAAATCAGGGTGTCAGCAGGGCTGCATTATTTTCTGGAGGATTTCTGGGAGAATCTATTTCCTTGTCATTTCCAGCTCCTGTCTCCATTCCTTGGATTATGGTCGCCCTCCTCCATTTCAGACCTGAGAAACAGCCTCTCTCTGACCCTTCCTGATCAAGTCTCCTGCTCATTGCAGGAAGGTTCCTTGGTTTTGAGGGCTCACCTGGACATAATCAAGAAGATGATTTTACCTTCTCTTTTTTTCTTTTCTTTGAGAGGTTTTTGCTATAGGGCACGAGCACTCTCAAGAAAGAGAGAGAGAGACAGAAAGGGAGAAATCCCCCCCCCCAGAGTGCTTGGCCATGCCGCAATCCCTTTTCCTCCATTGTCCTCTTGGGATCTTGGGCATGCACGCACACGTGCCCGGTGTGAGTTTAAGCCACCAGTCGGGGACTCTAACCTCAAGTCAACTACATGGGAGTCCAGTGACACAACCATTATGCCATCTGCTGGTCCCTGATTTTCCCATTTCAAGGTCCACACCCGCAATCACACCAGTCAAGTCTCTTTGCCATGTAAGGTAATATTTGGAGTCCTACAGATAAGGACATGGGCATCTTTGAGGGGATTATTATAAAGCCTACTGCAGGGTATAATTAGAAGTGTATGACTATTTGTTCTGCAGCTCTCAATTATTTGATGGATACTAAAAGTTAGTATGGAGACCAGGAGACGGCGGGATGGTTGTTTCCCTGGGATCCCATAGGGTTGACCTTGGTTCCAGTCACAGACCTGGTGACTTAAAACTCATGTCTGGTATGTGCCCCAAGACCACAAAAGGAGAATGGAGGAGAAGGGATTGCACCGTGGCCATGGGGAGGTTGGGGGAGGATGATTTCTCGCTTTCTGTCTCTCTGTCTCTCCAGGTAGCGCAAGCGCCCTCTGTCTCTCCAGGTAGCGCAAGCGCAAGCGGGGGGTGGTGGGGTGGAGAGTTTTGGCTATGGGACACATGCACACTCGCCAAAAAGAGGCAGAGACAGAAAGCAAGAAAAC